AGGACATGATATAGGGGCACAGAACACAATATAAAGGTACAGGAACAATATAAAGGAACATGAAATAAAGGCACAGGACATGAAATCAGGGCATAGGATATGAAATAAAAGCATAGGACACAAAATAAAGGCACAGGATGTGAAATCAAGGCACAGGATGCCTAATAGTGGCACAGGACACAAAATCAAGGTACAGGACACGAAATCAAGGCATAGGACACAAAATATTGGCACAGAACATGAAATAAAGGTAAAGGACAAGAAATAGGGTTACAGGACATGAAATAAAGGTACAGAACATGATACAGAAGGCACAGGACATGAAAAAAAGGCACAGCACATGAAATAAGGGCACAGGACACGAAATAAAGGCCCAGGACACAGCTGGCTGGGTCGCTGCAAACATTCTCCTTTATTGTTCACACCACACACCTTCCTCTTGGCACTTCACTGTAGGGATTTGTTTAAAAAAAACCCACACTCCTACATGGAGGGCCCGTGGGGACCAGCTGAGCAAGGGGTGGGGTTTTCTAGAGACTTTTATTTCTCCCCCCCACCCCCCCAAACCCCAACCTTTATTTTCCTCCAGATGTGGTCAAGTGTCATCACTTCCAAAGCAGGCAAATAAATAAAAAAAAAAAGGAAAAATAAAATACTATTAAAAAAAGAAAAAAAACCAAAAAAACCTTCTCTGTGGCTTTGGGAATGTGCCAGGAGCTCTCCCACACCAGCTGCACTCAGGGAAATGCTCTTTTTCTTTTTCTGTGTGTATTCTCAATTTTGTTTGAAAAGGACAGTATTTCTCACGTGTGTTTTCGTTTTTGTTTGGTTTTTTTGTTTAATATACTACAGCCTGAAATTCAGTGCAATAGGTACAACTACAGTGCAGAACTATACAAAAAAAAGTCATCCTAACCATGTACAAGCTTTTTTTTTTTTTCCTCTTAGTCGCTATAGAAACTATAACCTTTTTCTGTACCTTTTGTATACATTATACAGTGTGAATATATGAGAATATTTACAGTACTTGGCTTGTCAAATCAGAAACGCTATAACTTAAAATTCTACTATTAACAACCATTGAACAAAAATATATATAATATAAATATCTTCCAGTCTATACACAGAGCAGGAAACGGCTGAATCCATGCGGTGCTGGAATTTGGTGAGTCCCGGGATGGGGGTGGTGATGGAGGGGGGATGGTGGGATGTTGTCGCCGCTGGTGCTTCACTGTCGGGCAAATATTGCCAAGATTAACCCCAAAAAACTTCAACAAGAACACATTTTTCCCCCCCTCCCCTCCTCTCCCGTTTTCCCCCCCCATCCCAAGCTGGAATTCAGGAGGAGCAGAGGAGCCTTTGTGACTCTGGGCTTGACCTTTTTTCCAACCGATCCATCCGGGACGGCTCCGTCCTCCGCGCTGCCCCGGGGCGGGAGGTCCCCGTCCACGACCCCACCGCGGGGCTTGAAATCAAGGAGACTTGAAAAAATAAAAAATAACTCGTTTTCCTGATGTTTTGTTTTGTTTTTTCGTGGGTTTTTTTGTTATTTTTTAAAAATAATCGTCGGGTTTAGTTTAGTCAATTTAGATGCAGGGGGTTTTTTTCTCTCTACGATTAGAATGTTAAAAAATAAGTTTCTGGCTTTAAAAACTTCTTCTCTACGTGATTTTTGCCATCGTTAAATAATGCTAAAAAATAAGTTTCCAGCTTTAAAAACTTCCTCTCTACGTGATTTTTGCCACCGTTAAATAACGTTAAAAAATAAGTTTCCAGCTTTAAAAACTTCCCTCTCTACGTGATTTTTGCCATCGTTAAATAACCTAAAAATCGCATCGTTAATTAAAAAAAAAAAAAGAGGGAATCACCTTCCTGCTGGTGGAGGAGGCCGAGTTGGGTGGGTTTGGAAAACCCCTATGGGGCTTTGAAATACTGGACGTGAGACCAGCTACGGAATAAAATAAAATAAAATCCGTTCCTAGCCAGGAAAAAAAACAACAAAAAACAAAACAACAAAAAAAAAACCCAAAACGAACAAAAAAAAAATAATAATAATAAAATAGCTCAGTCTGTCCCCAGTAAACCAGCAGGGGGGAGGCTGGGAAGGGGCGTCTGCACACCGGGGTGGGGACCTCCCCCACCACATACACACACAATAATCCCTCCTGCCTGGGGTCTGTACAAAGTGTTTTAAAAAAAAGCCCCCTCCCGGGTCAGGGCGGAGGTGCCGGCGGTGCCACCCGAGGTGGTGCCACCCGTGGCCACCCCAGCGGTTACACCTGCGAGTCGGCGCCCAGGCTGTGGAACTCGTCCGGGGTCTTGTCGCTCTGGCCGCCCCCGCCCTGCCGGAAGCCCGAGGCGATCTCGTCGAAGGTCCGGCCCTTCGTCTCCGGCACCTTGAAGTAGGTGAAGATGAAGAAGAGCACGAGCAGCACCGTGAAGATGATGAAGACGTAGGAGCCGCAGAGTTGCTGGGGAGGAAACAGGGGGGAAAAAGGGTGAGCAGCAGGTGGAGATCATGGGATCGTGGAATTCTTTAGGTTGGAAAAGCTCTCTGAGATCATTGAGTCCAACCATCAAATCAGCACTGCCAGGGCCATCACCCAACTGTGTCCCCAAGTGCCACATCCACACGTCCACTGAACACCTCCAGGGATGGGGATTCCACCACTGCCCTGGACAGCCCCTCCCAATGCCTGACCACCCTTTCCATGAAGGAATTTTCTCATCCAACCTGACCCTCCCCTGGCACAGCTTGAGGCCGTTTCCTCTTGTCCTGTCCCTTGTTCCCTGGAGCAGAGCCCGACCCCTCCTGGCTCCCCCCTCCAGTCAGGGAGTTGCAGAGCCAGAAGGTCCCCCCTGAGCCTCCTTTTCTCCAGCCTGAGCCCCCCCAGCTCCCCCAAACATTCCTAGTGTTCCAGACCCTTCCCCAGCTCCGTTCCCCCCTCTGGACTCACCAGAGGGATGGACCACAGCTGAAGGACCAGCTGGTGACCACCCTGACCACTCAGGTCCTCCTTTCATGGAACATCTCAAGTTGGGATGATCCATCAGGATTATGGAGTCCAACCCCTGCTCCTTCCCCAGGTCCCAGCCCCCTCCCCCTCCCCAAGGGATCTCCCCAACCAAACCACCTCAGCCCAGGTTTTAGGGCTCAAGGACATGTCCCTGAGATCCAACACTGGGATCCAGCACCGGGATCTGACACCAGGATCCAACATCAAAATCTGGCACTGGGATCCAGCAGCCGGACCCAGCACTTGGATTTGGCAGCAGGATACAGCAGTGGGATCCTGCACTTGAGTCTGGCATAGGGATCCACCACCAGGCCCCACGATCAGGATCTGGCCAGACACCACCTCCATCCCTGATCCAGAACCGGGATCTGGGTCCATCCAGAACCAACCCAGTCTGGGTGTGCAGGACTGCGACTCCCCCAAATTCCTGGGACCCCCCGGGGACACCCGAGTCCCTCCAGACACCTGGATTCCCGTGTCCCCTGTTCCCCCCCCGTGGTCCCTCCGTGATTACCGCGATGTACTGGAAGCCCATCCCCACGATGAAGTTGGAGGTCCAGTTGGAGAGCCCAGCCACCGCGAAGGCCGCGGGACGGGGGCCTTGGCTGAACAGCTCGGCCACGATGAACCACGGGATGGGGCCAGGACCGATCTCAAAGAAGGCCACGAACCCGAAGATGGCCACGATGCTGAGGTAGGACATCCAGGGCATTTGGTCCTGGGCAAGGGAGAGGGAGAAGGTCAGCGTGGAGAAGGGGCACGAAGCACCTGAAGCGCGAGACAGCAGCCAGCTGGTGCTGGCAGAGGAGCCACCAGGCTTCTCCCAGCAGGAGATGGGAATTCTGGGACCTCAGCCATCACCCTGAGGAGGATAAGTCTTTCCTCTCCCTCCCAGCCCGCCCGTCCCCTCAGCACCCAGCACTCACCAGCAGCGTGAGGGCGATGGTCATGAGCACGGCACACCCCGCCATCCCCGCCAGGCCGATGAGGTGCAGGGTCCTGCGCCCGGCCCGCTCCACCACGAACAGCTGGGGGATGGAGACACATCATCAGCACCTCCCCAGCCCGCAGGGAGGGCCCCCGCTCCCTCCAGTAAGACCTCGGGGGGCCAACACTCACCGAGACCACCGTGAAGGCCGTGTTCACCACGCCGGAGCCGATGGTGGCGTAGACGGGCTGCTCCACCCCCGACTTCTCGAAGATGCTGGTGGAGTAGTAGAAAACCTAAAAAGGGCAGGGAAGCGCCTCGAGTCAGGTCTTGGAGCCAACACAACCCCAGGTTGTGGGTGAAACCACCCGACCCTGAATGAGCTCAGGTTGTGGGTTTGACGCCCGTGTGGGCCGTTCGCTTAAGAGCTGGACTCCGTGATCCTTGTGGGTCCCTTCCAACTTGGAATATGCTGCGATCCCGAGACTCACCGCATTGATGCCCGAGAGCTGCTGGGAGAGCTGCAGGACGATGGCAATGAGGATGGGCTGGCGGTACATGGGCGAGCGGAACAGCTCCATGATGGTCACCTTCTTCTCCCTCATCATCTGCCGGCTCTCCTCCTTCATCTCCTGCAGGTCACTGCTCACGTCCGTCGTGCCCCGCAGCTTCTTGAGGACTGAGGGGGGGGACAGGTGGGGTGAGGAGCAGCCGAGGAGCCTCCAGTGCTGGGAAACAGGCTCGGGGAGGGGTCACTCACCACTCTTGGCCTTGTTCTCCTCGTTGCGGTTGATGAGGAGGAACCGGGGGCTCTCGGGGGCGAAGGGCAGGATGATGCACTGCAGCAGGGCAGGCACGAAGATGAAGCCCAGCAGCAGCGGCCACAGCGAGTCATTTCCCATGATCAGGTCCAAACCGAACACCTGAGGACGATGGGAGGGGTTCAGTTGCCCTTTCCCAGCTGGAAAAGGTCCCAGCTAGACCCAACTCTGCTGCCCGTGGGTGCTGGGACACCCACTGTGGGGACACAGCTGCTGTGCTGCTTCCAGGCAGCCAACAGACGTCATATCCCGGTGCTGCCCATCCCAAACCTTCGGATCCCAGAGCATCCCTGCTCCTGCTGAGCTCCAACCATCCCACCCTGCTCCCGCTGAGCTTCAACCATCCCACTCTGCTCCCGCTGAGCTCCAACTACCCCACTCTGCCCCTGCTGAGCTCCAGCTCCAACCATCCCAACCCTGCTCCTGCTGAGC